CTGGGACATCATATAGTGAGTGTCTATGGTACAGTAATGTAATATAGAGTATGTCCCTGGGACATCATATGGTGAGTGTCTATGTACAGTAATGTAGAGTATGGCCCTGGGACATCATATGGTGAGTGTCTGTGTACAGTAATGTAATGTAGAGTAGTCAGTTGTATGTCCCTGGGACATCATATGGTGAGTGTCTGTGTACAGTAATGTAATGTAGAGTATGTCCCTGGGACATCATATAGTGAGTGTCTATGGTACAGTAATGTAATATAGAGTATGTCCCTGGGACATCATATGGTGAGTGTCTATGTACAGTAATGTAGAGTATGGCCCTGGGACATCATATGGTGAGTGTCTGTGTACAGTAATGTAATGTAGAGTAGTCAGTTGTATGTCCCTGGGACATCATATGGTGAGTGTCTGTGTACAGTAATGTAATGTAGAGTATGTCCCTGGGACATCATATAGTGAGTGTCTATGGTACAGTAATGTAATATAGAGTATGTCCCTGGGACATCATATGGTGAGTGTCTATGTACAGTAATGTAGAGTATGGCCCTGGGACATCATATGGTGAGTGTCTGTGTACAGTAATGTAATGTAGAGTAGTCAGTTGTATGTCCCTGGGACATCATATGGTGAGTGTCTGTGTACAGTAATGTAATGTAGAGTATGTCCCTGGGACATCATATAGTGAGTGTCTATGGTACAGTAATGTAATATAGAGTATGTCCCTGGGACATCATATGGTGAGTGTCTATGTACAGTAATGTAGAGTATGGCCCTGGGACATCATATGGTGAGTGTCTGTGTACAGTAATGTAATGTAGAGTAGTCAGTTGTATGTCCCTGGGACATCATATGGTGAGTGTCTGTGTACAGTAATGTAATGTAGAGTATGACCCTGGAACATCATATGGTGAGTGTCTATGTAAAGTAATGTAATGTAATGTAGAGTATGACCCTGGGATATTGTTTGGTGAGCGTCTTTTTATGCCCCCGCCATAAAATGGGGGGGCATATAGTGTTACCCATGTCCGTCCCGTCCTGTCCTGTCCACCATTTTATGGTGCGTGTTGGTGTGAAGTAATTATATGATGTGATTATGATCATAGACATAGGTAATGGCTTTGACTCTATATTGTATTGTATTGTAAAGGTCGATGTAAAGAAATCTGATACTATAAATGTATGATGACATTCGTGATGACTAAAGCTACGTTATATTGTATGGGGAGTGTCGGTGTAAAGTAATCTGATACTATACATGTATGATGACATTCGTGATGACTAAAGGTACGTTATATTGTATGGTGAGTGACGGTGTAAAGTAATCACAGATACCACAAATGTATGATGACATTCGTGACGACTAAAGCTACGTTATATTGTATGGGGAGTGTCGGTGTAAAGTAATGATACTATAAATGTATGATGATATTCGTGATGACTAAAGCTACGTTATATTGTATGGTGAGTGTCGGTGTAAAGTAATCACAGATACCACAAATGTATGATGACATTCGTGATGACTAAAGCTACTAATATTGTATGGTGAGTGTCGGTGTAAAGTAACCTGATACTATAAATGTATGATGACATTCGTGATGACTAAAGCTACTAATATTGTATGGTGAGTGTCGGTGTAAAGTAATCTGATACTATACATGTATGTCATCATACATGTATAGTATCAGGTTAATTTACACCGACACTCACCATACGATATAACGTAGCTTTAGTCATAACGAATGTCATCATACATATATAGTATCATTACTTTACACCAACACTCGCCATACAATATAACGTAGCTTTGGTCATCACGAATGTCATCATACATTTGTGGTATCTGTGATTACTTTACACCGACACTCCCCATAGAATATAAAGTAGCTTTAGTCATAACGAATGTCATCATACATATATAGTATCATTACTTTACACCGACACTCGCCATACAATATAACGTAGCTTTGGTCATCACGAATGTCATCATAAATTTATAGTATCATTACTTTACACCAACACTCGCCATACAATATAACGTAGCTTTATTCATCACGAATGTCATCATACATATATAGTATCTTTTTTTTCAACCAGAAGACGGCATACGAGATAACGTAGCTTTAGTCATCACCAATGTCATCATACATTTATAGTATCAGGTTACTTTACACAGACACTCACCATACAATATAACGAAGCGTTAGTCATCACGAATGTCATCATACTATAAATGTATGATGACATTCGTAATGACTAAAGCTTAACTAATATTGTATGGCGAGTGCCGGTGGAAAGTAATCTGATACTATAAATGTATGGTGACATTCGTGATGACTAAAGCTAGGTTATATCGTATGGTGAGTGTCGGTGTAAAATAATCTGATACTATAAATGTATGACGACATTCGTGATGACTAAAGCTAGTAATATTGTATGGTGAGTGTCGGTGTAAAATAATCTGATACTATAAATGTATGCTGACATTCGTGATGACTAAAGCTTCGTTATATTGTATGGTGAGTGTCGATGTAAAGTAATCTGATACTATAAATGTATGACGACATTCGTGATGACTAAAGCTGCGTTATATTGTATGGCGAGTGGCGGTGTAAAGTAATGATACTATAAATTTATGATGACATTCGTGATGACTAAAGCTACGTTATATTGTATGGCGAGTGTCGGTGTAAAGTAATGATACTATATATGTATGATGACATTCGTGATGACTAAAGCTTCGTTATATTGTATGGTGAGTGTCGGTGTAAAGTAATGATATATGTATAGACACAGATATTGTCTAGGTCCTAGGAATTTGATACCTGAATACATCACGTTTTTAAAAGTGAAAGGATGATTCAATAACTATTCAAGTACTTGTAAGTGGTAGTGCGTAGGCTCTTTGTTTTTTTATGGTTTTCATATAGCTATAGATGTACTGATAATTTCTTTATGTCATTATTATGCACATTAGTCTGTGGGGAACC